TTCTGATGTACACACACACACACAGGCCGGGGAGAGTTCATGGCATGGTAAGACGCTGCATTGCAGTCTTTGCCACAACTAGTACATAAGCTAAACCACCACTACCACTGACATTTACAAAGAGTGTTTTTATTGATAGAAATCGCCAGTCACTCCCACCACTTCCCAACTGCTACATTACAGCCTGTATTTGAAGTTTCACTTTTCAGCTTGGCACAGACACAGAAGTGTGAGTTTCAGTAGTGAAAGTTTCCATGCTTGTGCACTAGACATAAACATATAAAGGTTATTTGTTGTCTTATGTGAAGAACTATGTTTTATTAAAGCATTCTATAAATAAAGATTAATAAATAAAAAAAAAAAAAAAAATATTCTAAAGAAAAGAAATCTGTTGATCAATTTGTGGGTGATCAACAAGTTTGTTCACTGCTTATTCTCACAAACAGATGAGTCACACCAGCAACCTCTCCTGTCTGCAGCTGAAGCAAGGCACTCTTTAAAAGTCTCTCGCAAATGCAGATGCAGTGTTTTGGAAAATGGCGATGATGTAATGGTGCTTTGTGAAGGCTATGTGTGCAAATATTGTGCAATCAGCAAGTTCAACTTAGAGGAAGTGGAAATGTTGTCTGTTGTCCACTAGATGGTGTCCCTGACACACAGATTGTCAGATATTGACCTGTCTTAATTTCCTGACTCTTTCCCATGTAAGTAAGTCATCCAAATGATGGTTTGAAGAAATATGAAGATTTTTGAGGGAAGGTTTCAACAACCAAAATTAGGTTTTTGGTTGTTTTTAGTATTTTGCCTGTATTTGGGAGTCAATGACAGTAACTGAGAAAGAGAGAGAGATCGGGAACGACATGCAACAAAAGTCCCTGGCTGGACTCAAACTGGGGATGTTGTACAAAAACCCCTAGGCCATCAGAGCACCCGAACAATTGGTTGTTAAAGCCAATGTTTAGTAATCTAACATGGCATATATATATAACACATATTTAAATATATTATTCTTTTTATCATTGATTCATCTGGTGATCATTTCTCAACTAATGGGTAAATAGTTTGGTCTGTAAAATGTCAGAAGTACAGAAGACAACGATGTGCCCATCACAATTTCCCACATCCTCAGGTGATGTCTATAAATAATTACACAGAAACCTAAATAAGCTAATGATACATAATTTATATTTATATAAAACAGGAACAAGCTGCAAATCCTCTCTGGATCAAGCTTGAAACACAGACTATTTGGCATTTTTGCTAAAAAAAAACTACGTAAATAATTAGGCTTTATCTAAGTAGTTGCAGATACATACAGATTGTTTAACCAATAGTGGTTTTAACTTTAACGTGAAATCAATGGATATTTCTTAATTTTGTTCTGTAGGATATTCATCAAATAAGACACCTAACAGCTTGTACAGCAAATGTTGCTATTAATATTTGGATGGGAAATTTATTTTGAATTTTTATTCATCTAGTTGCACATTGTGTTCAGATTGAATAGTAACATTAAACACTCATTCAGAATGTAATAATCTGTAAGGAACAAAATGTTCTTTGTGAGGAGGAAAACTGAAATGGCATTTAAACTGTTCAGGGACATAAATATCATTACACTTATTATTAAAACTGTTATATGGGATATTTGTTGCCTGTTCATGTGATATATGATTTGATCACTTGACCCTGAAGGTGACACAGAAGAGAGAGGGTTTAAATCTGCAACAAAAAAGGGAGACAGGGAATAAGAGACAGAAGGGGAGGAAGGGAGGGCGAGGGAGGGGATGTAGGAAGACAAAAATAACAAAGGCATGTGTTTCAGTCTGTCTGTCTCTCCTTGGTATTTTCCACTCTGTTACATAAAAATCCCTCCTTCCCTCTTCTCAATCCCTTCCCCGGGCTCCCTCAGCTCCTCCCTCCTCCCTGTCATTGGTCAGCTGGTTGGCTCCACAAAGCCACAAACTTGTTCTCGCTTCAGCCAAGTGGCTCAGAATCCACTGAGGGGAAAAAGAGGGAAGCGGGGCAGGAGAGCAGTGGTGTGGCAGTCAGCATCAGTCACTTCAGAGCAGAGGAGGTGGGAGATGATCGGGAGACCCTCTGCTGAACTCTCACAGGGCTGACCGGTCATCACACACTCATCATCTCAGATTGATTATCTACGACTCTCCAGCAGCAGCATGAGCTCGTCATCAGCCAACCTTCATAACAAACGCCTACCCTGTGAGTCATTTTTATTTAACTTCTTAACCTTTTGCAAAAAAAACTTACCTTTTAGTTCAGGTTGATTTTTGAAGATCAGGACACAAGTTTTCTCCTTTAACACAGTTTTTATTTTCAGATCTAGAGCAGGACATTGGAGAGGAGAAAATATTTTTCCATATTTGGTTGTCAGACACACACACACACACACATTGAACATTTAAGGCAGAAACTCAAGCTATAATGAAAGCCTCACATGTCTGTCATGTGAAGGGATGTGGCTGCTGTAAAAATGTTAAAAATGTCAGAAATAATTTCTTATATGAAATCCAGTGTCTATATTATATTAAATGGTGTCAAATTAATGTAAAGTGAGAAAAGGCATGACCGTACGTTATTTATGGACAGACACAGAATTTATTCCATTACTATAAGTGTGTGTGTGTGTGTCAGATAACGTAGAAGCTGATGTGTGACAGCTCAGCCAGTGTGTTAAATAGCTGCCATTGTGTTGATGCCGCCTGAAGTGACTGGTCCAAGTGCTGTGCCAGCCAAAAAATCAGACAGGAATGTTGAATCATCACCCTGAGTAATGTTCACTAATACCAAGTGAATAGGTCACACTCTCTCTGCACAGGAATTGGGACGCATTCCCTCACACACACACACACTGAGGCAGGCTTGGATTGGGGCCACCGCAGAGCTCCAGACAAAGATCTCTTATTTCTAATGGGATTGTGCCTGCAGATCTCATCAGAGTCGGCTGACTGCAGCAGGGTCTGCAGCTCGTTCCACAGACACACCAACACAGATAGGACTCACAGACCTGAAATTGAATTAGTCCCAGTGAGATCAGTGTGTGATTTCATGAGGCTAAAAAGGATCAGGGCTGTGACTCCAGAGAAGACGTCTCCCATCTGTTTCTCTGCCCCACAGCCCCTGTGCCTCCACAGTCCGCTCTGTCACGTTTTCATTATTGTGGGAATGTGCCAGAGAGTGGCACACTGGTGTGCTGTGGAGTGAAGGACTGACCAGCTGTTGAGAGCATGTTACGCACAGCAGGGTATTGGGTGTAGAAAGGATTGTTTCTACTCTCCATGTATTCTTAGCCCAGTCCCCTTGGACATGACCGAGATAGGACTGAGGAGTAGATTCTGTTTAATGAGCAAATTAGAGGGGTAAAAATCCATATCATGTACTGTCAGTATATTTAATTGATCGCACTCTGAGGAATACATACATTTTATATCTCTGCTCAGCTGCTCTGCTAAACTGGAGCTTAATGTCTGAGTTGGATGGGATACAGATGGGGCCAAATTGGACACAGTGAAAAAGGTGGAAACTTCTCATTCTCCTGATTTATTTCTCTTGAGCACATACATACACATACATATGTAGCTACCACTGAAACCAATTATGTCATAAACTCTGTGCTTTTTTTCTTTTGGTAAATTGGTGGTTTTAAGTAATATTGAGGCCAACTCCAGTATGTTTTATACCCAGTTCATTTAAACCTGCAATAACAAATCTTTTGGCCAATAGTTGGGGAGGCGGATACAAGCTGTAAACATGTTGACATAATATCACCTTATAAAGATGCTATAGTGAACTTGTTAAAATACAGTTGCCTATTTACACATTCAGCACATACAGAGAAACATCATCTTCATTTGGAGTCATGTTTGTGACCACTTGGTGAATGTAAGCCCAATATTTACACCCTAATAGCTCTGTTTTTGGTCTCTACCAACAACATGCAAAAATCTGACTCTCCAGCTGCTAAATTCTCCCTGTGTTCTCCAGCTGGACTTATCTTTTTGCTGTTGGATGCTGGATTGTGCTGAAGACAGTTGCTTCTTGCAGCTGAAAACACTTTGGCAGTATTGAGACTGTACCAAAAAGAGTAAAGTTGTAGGCCAGACAAACCAAAAACAAAGAGCTTCTAGATGATAAAACGCTCTGTGGAGCTGAAGGAAACTGCAGAGTTGGGTAGTAATTCTCGGTAAGTTCGCCACAACGAATGACCATTTTACTATCATTTTCCAGAAAATGTGGAAAAGACTAATCATCGAAAAGTAGCCTTGTGGCAGGCAGTCAAGGGCACTGACTTCTTGTCCTAATTCAGTGTAATTATTGAGCTAATTAAACAATTCACTGATTAAATAAAATGTTAACATAACTTTATTTTGTGGTATCTGGGTGGGGGGCGTCTCATGACCTCAGTATTTTTTAAATTCAGATTACAGCCCTGAACCCATGAAGTGTTTCACTGCTGTTTGTTTGGGACCAGATTGACTTGAATTGGGTAAAACTGGTGGTAATTTCTCTGGTGATAAAATATTGATGGCTGGTGTCTTTGCTTGTTAACGCCACAGTCTTCCACTGATTGATTAAAATAAGTATTTCCAGCAATTCAATCACTGGTGTTGAAAGAAGTGTTAATACTCAGTTATGCTCTTTCAGAGACAACAGGAATACTAACAGGATGATTCCTGACCAGTGTGAGAAAAGCTTACATGGTGCAAATACATAGCTTATATAATAACAAACAATGCCCTGTGGCATGTCAGCACTTCAAGTTGATTATATGTGTGTGTTTGTGTGTGGTTACACTAAACAGCCTTACATGGATGGCTGAATAAGGATCCCATCAATTCAACAGTCTAAGCTGTGTAGCCCTGGGGACACAGACCAGCTCCTCTCATTAGTTCTCTAACAAATCCATCTACTCACTGTTCAGCTGAATCCTCTGGGTATACACAGAGCTGACGCCTCCAGGCATACTCTGAGTGTTCAGAGGCCTACACAGAGAGACAACAGCAATTCATCATGTGAGCCATCTTCCAAATGTGCAAACCATGTAGCACAAATTCACCTGTTTGGATAGTTTAATGATTTGGAGCTTGTTCACAGAGGCACTGATATTACTGGCAGGAGAGAAAAAACGGTGGGAAAGTAAAGCTGCTTATACTAGAGAAAGACAAAATTAGCGACTAGCTGGTTAACATAATGTAGCATATAGCAGCTTAAGAGCCAGATATTTCTCCCAGGTCCTGGCGGAGACCAAAATCAGAGCTAAAAGGAGAGTAAGTGGAGTTATATCCATTGAGAGGCCAGAGATATGACTCCAAAATGTTCCTCTGTATCAACATACACCGATCAGCCATAACAATAAGTTATAGTGCAGTTGTGGTGCAGTATTAAGTTGCCTGAAATTAAATTAAGTAAACAAAACTGAAGTGCAGAAAATAAAATAATAAAGTAATTACATTCAAAAAGGTTACAAACACAAATGCACATATAACAGTTAAGATGAGACACAATAAATAAATAAACTGTAATATCTGTTCTGTTTTATTGTCAAAGTATATGTACACATACAAGGAATCTGACTCTGGTTTTAATATGATTATACTGTAATCTTGTAAACTAGTTACTCAAATTTTCTTTTATCAACATGACAACATGAAGTAATGATTCAGTCTTTCTGGCCAGTCTGCAGGCCACCCTACCTCAGCCTCAACAAACAGAGGGTAAAATGTCTGAGAGACTGTGTTGCGTTCAACCAAACATTCCCACAATTCTCCCAGCTGAAATGAAACCTCCCTAACAAATATGTGGAGAGGCAGCGCCGCTTTCCCAGGAAGAACAGTGAGCAGTGTGAATGCTGAAGTGATTGCCATGAGGGAAGTCAGCTTGTGTGGGTTTAATCTTGAAAGAACACTTTCTTTGTTTGCATCGCTCCCTTGGAAACTCGGTCAACCATCACTAGATAATTCCATGTTTTTTAGTGTGACTACATTTAGATACGATAAACTGTCCTCTGTCAGTCTACTGATAGCCACACTAGATGTACTAATGATTAATTCTATAGCCCTTGCAGAGATTTGAGCATTATTGGCTGGTTGGGTTGCTTAAAAATAGTTAATAATCTTTTTCTACTGTTCATTTATAGTCATTCTGAATAAGAGGATTTCATGGTAAACATGAGCATGTCAGTACTTTGTCAGCTGGTGAAGCCTATTGTGTTGATCATAACTCAGGACAGTCTGCTTGTGGGCTTATGGAGGGCAGTGGGACAGGGCACTGACCTACAAACAGTCCTATTGTCAGTCTGGGTGTAATCCAAGCAGGGAAGGAAGGAGAGGGTTAATACTGATGTCATTGTTGTCCTGACGAACTGGGCTGACGGTGCTGGACACTGCTTTGTCCCGGTGAAGACAGCCAGATCTAATATGCAAATGAAAACATACACATGCATGCACTGATATGTAGACCAGACGGACACACAAACACAGCTGCCATAAATAATTTACTGTGCTTGCAACTGGAGCCCAGTAAATGGCAGCCTTTTGGAGAAAATGGGGAGTGAGAGAAACCAAAAATAAAAGTGTGAGACGGAGTGCATAGTCTCCGAAGATAATATTGTCCATTTTACAAGCGTAACCATCCGTCTGGTCCACTTCAGTTCAAAGCACTGTCTGTACCCAGGAATGCGAAAAGGATACAAGCAAGCAGTGCGATGGTGTTGAAACTGCAGTCACTAGAAAATTGAAAAGTGTAAAACAGCAGGAGCAACTTCCCTGGCAGCTCCCAGGATGTGCTGACCAGGAAGTGTCAAAGCACTCAGTGTCATCTTTTTAATGTTAGTGATAAATTAGCACATGCAGTTATAGTGGCAGCTCTGCTCTTGCTGTTAAAGCAGGATAAATCTTCTACCTGTGGCCAACCAGTCACTCCACCATTCTTCATGACCACTGAGATACCATTAATTACTGTAACAGGCCTAGCAAAGATACTGATCCACTAATGACCAACTATAGACTGCTAACAGCCTGCTGCTGCGGTTGAGTTCAATGTTGTGCTGGAAGGTACAGAAGAGACTCTCAGTAAAAATAACAAGACATCCTCTTTAACTAATGAGCCCGTGCAGAATTCCTTCTCTCTATCCTCTCCATCTCTATGGCCCACACCCTCCTGTTGACTCACTTTTGGCTAACCTCTCTCCCATCATACTCTAG